TAAGAGAAATCGATTTGAAACTCGTGGTCGATGTTCTTTTGAGTAAGAACAAGAAGAAGAAAAACCCTGTGGTCGTCGGAGACTCGGTCTCGTTCACCGAAGGATTCGTATCGGAGCTAATGGTGAAGATAGAGAGAGGAGAAATCGAACAAATCGGTGATTTAAAGCAAACCCATTTCGTCAAGTTTCAGTTTTCACCAATGGCGTCAAAGCTAATGAGGAGAGAAGACGTGGAGACGAACATCAAAGAGTTAAGGAAGAAAGTCGTCTCTCTAACGACGAGTGGCAAAAACGTAATTATCTTCACTGGTGACTTAAAGTGGACAATCAGAGAGACTAACAGCAATGAGATTTCTTCGTCTTACAGTCCTCTGGATCATTTAGTTGAAGAGATTGGGAAACTAATCGGTCAGTATGAGGACAAATTAGAGGACGAAGGTGGTGATGATGATCAAATTGATGGGTCTAAGAGAAAGGTTTGGGTAATGGGAACAGCTTCGTTTCAGACATACATGAGATGTCAAATGAGACAACCTTCGTTAGAAACACTGTGGGCTCTTTATCCTGTCTCTGTCCCTTCTTCTGCTAATCTTGGCTTAACCCTTCATGCGACAAGGTAACTCCTTTTTTTACTTTTTACCATTAATTACTCTTAACAACTTTTTGTGATTTTGGTCAAAAAGGTTTTGCGTAGATAGTGACACTAGCTAGTATGTCTATGTTAAACTTACAAGAAAAATCGAATCTTTATGTCTAGTTTCAAAAATAATAATTTGATTTGATAAATGTTTGGTGTGTTTTTGCAGAGCTTACTTGAAAATGGTCCTTTTAGTGTCTGTCTTTGTTCTCTGACTTTACTCAGATCAGTGTCTCATTGAAGCCAAAACCCTCTGTGTCCATGCTTGTCCATTCACACATTTACAGTCTCAATCATTTTTTTTTTTTTTAATTTGGTCCCACGGAGGAGTCCACCTAAGAGTCTGGCTAAAATCATAGAGATACCAACTTTATTACAGTATATCCATTCCAAAATTTTGGCTAAATTATAGATGTTTTTTTTTTTTTTGAAACTTAAATTATAGATGTTGGTATTGATACTATTCAGATTATGTGTTAAGAATATTTAGGAGGCACTCGTTATATTCAATGGTCATTGGTTGTAGGAGGACAAATTAATTTCGAACATCGTAGAGAATATTTCCTGCAAACAATTAATAAAGCTACAAACTTTTGATTTTTTATGTCTCTTTTTTGTTTTGTAGCACTGTGTTGACGTTTTTACCCCTTTTACCACTTTGGTTAATTAGTCTCAAGTTTTCTTTTATGTCTGAAAGCTAAGAGACCGTCCTATATTAGGGAAACATTTTGTCTTCTTGTCCACAGAAACTCTTCTTGCAACAATCCAAAATCTCTTTTTTACTTTTGTATTCTTTTTCTCAGACTTTATTTACGAGAAGGCCACTGATCTCTCTCTCTCTTTTTGTTTTTGACCGTTTGTTTATTGCAGTGGGCATGAGGCAAGGAACATGAGTAATGTTACTGCAACAAAGTCATTTTCTGGTTATAATAAAGCTGAAGAAGAAGAGACAATAAGCTCTGTTCTAAGTTGTTGTCCTGAGTGTGTTACTGGCTTTGAGAGAGAAGCAAAAGCCCTTCAAGCTAATCAAGAAAAGCTCTTGCCTTCTTGGCTTCAACATCATGATGGAGACAATTCGTCACACAAGGTACAAATTTCTGAATTCGAAATCCATCGATATATGATTGATTCAGCGATAAATTGAAGATCTAATTCTTGTGTGTTTGATTTTGTTGTAGGAAGAGTTAATGGTACTGAGGAGAAAATGGAACAGGTTTTGTGAAAATCTACATAATCAGACAGGACAGTTGAGTTTGATGGGCAAAAACTATTCCTATGGCTTGCCTTATGGATCATCAAACGAGTCGTCGAGACCCGTTTCATTGATTGATTCGTTAGGTTTAAAGCCGAATCAGCGAGTCGTGAACTCGATTGCCAAATTCAGACGTCAGAATTCTTGCACTCTTGAGTTTGATTTGGGTGGAAACGAATACGAAAAGGGCGAGTCGGTGAATGAAGGCGAAAATGGGAAGGTTAATCTCGATTTGGGGCGTTCTGTGTTTCCATTAGATTCGGTAATCGAGACGAGGAAGAAGATCAGTGCATTGGTCAAAGCTTTGGAGGAGAGTATTCCATGGCAAACTATGACAATGCGTCTGATCGCTGAGAGTTTAATGGATTGCTTGTCGAAGAAGAAAGACGGTTGGATTATAATCGAAGGCAGCGACATAGCGGCGAAGAGGAGATTAGCTCGTACTGTATCTGAATCTGTTTTCGGATCTTTGGATTCTCTTGTTCATATTGATCTTAAGAAGAAAGGAAACGAGTCAAGAGCTAGCTCGGAAACGCTACTCGCTTGCGGATTGGAGAATCGCGGGAAGGCTGTATTCATCATCGAAGACATCGATTTGGCGGATTCCCGCTTCTTGAAACTCCTCGCTGATCGGTTTGAGGAGAATCGAAGGGTTCAGACCGGTATTGATCACCGCCAAACAATCTTTATTCTGACAAAGGAGGATTCGGGAAATGCGAAAAACAGAGACTCTGTTTTGCAAATTGGTTTGGAGATCAAGGAACAGAGTCTTGGGAGAAAGAGAAAACTGGAATCAGATTTATCAGTTAAGGAAGGTAAGAACTTTAAGGCGGGAGAGATCGAGGATGGGATTTGGATCAAGAAGGAAGTGTTCCCGAGGCCAACGAGTTTCAATAGCTCTTATCTCGACCTGAACATTAAAGCT